AGCCTACGTAACCTACGCCAAAATAATCTTCGTCGTTATCGCCATAAGCTGAGACTTCTCCCCAGCTTCTGGAAATCTGGCTGATATCCGTGAGCAAGTCGACAGCTGCGTGCACTTGGGCAGCGACGACGATAGCCCCAAGGGCAATATTTGAGAAGAACATCTTGCTCGACCTTGACCTTCAATTGTTCAATTGACTGACAAAAAGAGACCCACCAACATTGCTCTCTGGGGCTGGAGAGCTCTTATACCTACCAGCATGGTAAAGTTTAGATACCTTACAGCGTAGCGGAAAGTCGGGTGCCATTGATATCAAGAAAGAAACTTTTCCTCGGTAGTCCCGCTGTTCATCGTAGCTGCTTCTTGGGGAATAATCGGCAGGAACCCGACGAGCACAAGCTCCAATGTGCCAAGATGATTGGAGGTGGGGTAGCTCGATCCAAAGTATGCGCATGGACGCCGCGCAAGTACCTTGGGTCATCTCAGAGCAATGGCGGGAATCCATCGCGCGAAATGTCCAGAGGAGGCTGGGAAAAAAGTGAGATGACGTAGATTTTGTGAGATTGAAAGGTGGGACGGCACTAACCATGGGCCCCCTGCAGGATCTAATCAGGATATTACCTAGGGTAGTACTATGACATGAAGAGGGCAGGAACCGCCGAACGATAAGAGCGGAATGGTGATGAGGCGGTGTCAAAGACTTGGTCTAGAGAACTTTAGGGGTTCACGTTCTTGGCGCTGATGAAGAGATTGGATGCTTTGATTTCGGGTCCGAACTTCGGGTCGGAAGCGCGGCTTTCTTTAGCCGGGACTGAATTAAATTGGCTCCAAACCTTCAACTATTCTTCCCAACTAACGCAAGACAGCTTTCATTTCAGTCCAATGCGAAATACAATACCAGATATATTCTGTTTCCAAACACCGTTCATCACTTGGTATGATCAAACGGTCATTCTTCGCAAACGCTTTATGGGAAGATAAGGATGCGCCTTTCACGTGATAAGTATATCATATAACCTCCCAGGTTGCCTCGGGTGAGATCTCATTTTCAACTGAAATGCTTTGTTGATGTTGCATGAGGTATCTGCCTCAGTAGATTTTCTTTTATATTCAGAACAAAAATTCCTTTTTCTGGAGGCAGCAGTGATCACGTGTTATCGTGCCATAGTGGGGTAATTTCAGACCGAGTAGCCAAACTCTCAAGCTGCAACTTCGCCTCACTTTCTATACTTCCTCGCTTTAATCGACGCCCCAGAGCACCACAAATCATGTCATTGGACCAAAGTGCGGATGCTGATACTCCAAAAAGAACTCGAGTCCCTTGGCTCCAATCAATTAAGCCTTTTCAACTCGGATATCTGCAAGAGGCTCGAGGTGCGTCCTGTTGTGAGACGGGATGTGAACAACTTACTGGCCTGCTTTATCGCCAGGCAACCATTGAGAGGAAAGCAAATATGAGTGTTTCCGGTGAGACTTTGGGGGCGATGCTAATCAATTGGACGAGTTGATGGAAGCGCCAGGGTCGAGTGTGAAGGATTCCGCTGGGCTGCATTAGGCATCGTATCGCAATCTCAACAGAATGGGCTGAAATTCTCTCACCTGTCGTGACCAACCCTCCTTTCTATCTTTTGGCTCGCTCTGTCCCCTCTTTCCCCTCTATCTCGCGACGATGGCAGAAGCAGGAGCAGCTGGTTCCATTCCTGGTGTTGTTACCTTCGGTCTCCAGCTCGCAACAACAATCCACACATACGTTGAAGCAGTCTGGGAAGCCAAAGACAGACTTCGCGATGTTGCATTTGACATCAATTCGACTGCCTCTACGTTGAAGCAGCTTCAGGCTCTTCTCAATGCCGATCAAGAGCAGGCCACGAAAGTCTTCCGAGATGACGGAGTCAACGAGATCAGAGACCTCGCCATCGCTTGTGGAAAAGTCTATTCAACCATCGTCATTCTTCTGACCAAGGCTGGGTCACCCGATCAGCGAGGAAAAGTCCTAGCAGAGGCTGTCAATCCTCTTACGTTGAAGACATCCTGCCTCACTCGTCACATGAGATGGGCATGGCTCGCTCCTCGAATCAAGAGATGCCAGGGACAATTGAGATTGTTCAAGACAAAGCTGATCCTTATGCTCCAACTCGCGAACCTTACTAGAGTTCAATTAGGGTAAGGCGTATCTTTCTGCTAGTCGGCTCTGAGACTGACTTGACACAGGTTGCCTGAGCGACAACCTGGTTCCTTTCAGGAAGAATTGACTTTAAGAGCCTTATCAATTAAGCTCCGGAAGAAAGAACTTCGCACTTTTAGAATCTTGGTCGACAAATACGTGCCTGAAGAAGGAAACGCATCCGATGCCAGCTCCATTATGTCGTTAAAGGGACTTCAAGATTTCCGCATCGATGACAAAGCTAAATCTGGTTATGACTCCGATGAAGTCGTCATCGAGGAACGTGAGCCCCCAAAGCTAAGAACGAAGTGAGGATCACTTATCATTTCATTTACTTGTCGCTGAAATTCACAGGGTCAACGAGCCAAACGATTCGACATCTTCTACCTCCCAGCCAGAGGAACCCGCTACGTAAGAGCAACTTCTTATCCATATATGTTTTAGACGCTAATATCTGGACTAGTGAAAATGTCAACGAGACCCTAGCAAAGGATGAGGCGGATGTTGACGACAATGCCTCCGAATGCGGCACTTTGGTTGACGAGCCCCAAAATGGGAAGTCCGTCGACGCTGATCTCAAGAAGCCAGTAGCGGAAGAAGTGGTTGCCCCGCCCCCGCCGCCTCCGGCTCCCGTCGAGGTGAAGGAAGAACCAAAGCCTGAAGAGCCCAAAGATCAGCCCCAATGCACCAAGACTAATGATGGGAAAAAGGCTGAGGCCGACAAGCCTGCCGAAGAAATTGAAGGTATTAGCCTCACTACGACCTCCAGTACATTCAGCCTTCTCCCAAGATGGTTGAAGAATCTCTTCGGCAAGAGAGAGGAGCAATTCGCTGATGACTGGGAGAGCCCAACCCTTGAATGCTTCATTGTCTCGAATGAGTTTAAGCTACTAAAGCTGCCTTTCGGTCACCAGCGTCTGACGTACGGCCTAAAACGAACTCAGAGGAAGGTCGGATTGACTTGGGATCAATACATGGCGTCTCCTAATAAGAAGGAAATCAGCAAAGCCATCAACAAAGCGAAATTGATCGATTCCCGCAAGCGAACCTGTGTTGCTATCGGCGCCCAGAAGAAGGCTGATCTCGATTTCATCGTGCTATTTATGAGCTTGGGACCCAAGGTTGACCCAGTCCACTTCAAGGATGCCGTTGGTCGCATCTTCACCTTCCCATACGAGAGCTGCCGAACTTGGGAGGCAAGTCACATTCGCCCTTTTTGTTGCGACTAAGTCTGACTTATAATTTCTAGACTGTGAAGAAAATCATCGAAGAGGCATTCCTCCACGTCGAAGTCCTCGGCCCCCATGTTCACGCCGGACACTTTGACCTAATCGGACCAAACGGCTCCATCATCCTGCCAAGCCTCTGGACATCCCTCATTCAACCAGGAGACCACATCACCATGCACATGTGGCCAATGCCAGAACCAATTCGACAAGGTCCTCCTCCAGGATTCCTTGGCACGGGTCCCCCTCCTCCCCCTCCAGGGTGGCAACCAGGAGGGCCACCGCCTCCTCGCCCAAGAATGCCTGGTCCTCCAAACCCACCACCTCCTCCAGGATGGGTGGGGCAATGGCCTCCTCCACCACGTCCTCGCAGCGGTCCTCCCGTCATCGTGACGCCTCCTCCACCGATCGTCAAGATGCAACCTAAGAAGAAACCTCAACCAGTCAGCATCTTCAGTTGGATGGCTGGGAAGCCTGCTTATCGTCGTCGTCGCGCTTATTGGAGCGATTCTGACTCTGAGGATGGAAGCGAGCTGATGTCTGATTCTGACATTGAGAATGAGGATGTGGATGTTGAGCTTGCTATCAACTTTGAGAAAGAGGAGGAGAATGCTAAACTCGGGCTTGGAGAGTTGTTGGGTAAGTTTACTAATGCGTTGGATACGCTTGGTGGGAATGATTTGGACAGCGATGCGGACTCAGTTTCCAGCAGCTCTAGTGGAAGCTTGATTGATGATTGAAACCTCGACAACTGAAGCATTTGGAATGAAAGCCTGGGGGACAATGACGAAGCTTGGACCTGAGGTCGAAGTTATGGCAGTTTTTTTTTAGCGGGTTCTCCAGTTTCTCTTGTTGTCTTCATTTCATTTCATTTTATTTTCTTGTTCTTAGGCACTGCTCGTTCGTTATGTTGTCAGATTCCATATTGCCCTCCCTCAAGCTCAACAACAAAATACCAAAAACAAGCACTATGCAAAATAATGAAAGTCACGATCTTCAAGGTACAAACCAGACCAAACCTGATTCTATGCGCTTGCAATATCAAAACTCGTATCCCTCTTCCAGCCGCAAAACCGTTAAACCTCCACACACCACCTTAAATCATCCTGCATCCCTTATTGGTTCTCACAGACAGGCACAAACAAACCCCTCATGCAACTCAGGGCACACGACATGAACCTCTAAGGCAGGATGAGCAACGTGGCACCTATCAGCAACATTTCAGCTCCGAACTCCTGCAGCTCCTTCTGAGTCTCGAATCAATTGGAACCCCGCAGCTGACACATGTCGTTGTTCACTTGCAATATGCAGGCATGATTGAATCTAGCAATCCGTAAAATGGCATACATCCAAACTAAGACCTAATTCCCGTACCATGAAAAAATGAACTTTCTTCGTTCAAGACAAGCGACCATTTCGTAAAATGTTCGCCAAACCCAAGAACCCCTTTCCGCCCTCGCTTCTGCCCCACCCACTTCTCGCTTCCCCCTTCCTTTCCCCACTTGACCCACCCACAATCGGCACATCAACGGCCCTCCTCCAAAAAATTGCAATATAGATTTAAAAAAACAAAATTTCCTCTCATCCAATCAAAAGATGGTATACATATATCTTCTGTGGCGCAATTGGCTAGCGCGTTCGACTGTTATGAAGTGCAATCGAGAGGTTGGAGGTTCGAGCCCTCCCAGAAGAGTTTTCTTTTGGTTCTTAGGCTGGAATTTAGTTGCCCAGTAGAGGTGGCGGTGGTTGAAAATGGGGGTTTTCTTCGTTTTATTTTTGTATTAGGAATTGTTGGTGCCTCTTCGTATGTCGGAGTCACGTTGGAATATGGAAAGGGATGAGGGGCACGCCTGGAGGGCACACCGGCGATTGGATATCGGTAATGGTTGTTTTAGAATGCAGTGAAATGACTTCAAAGTCTTAAGAGGTATCAGGGAAAGACAACGTGCATTCAAAATCTTCTATCCTTGATCGTATCCAATCAAACGTGCTTGCCGCGGAATTTCCTCATCTTCCTCCTAGCCAAAGAGGGAATATGAACTACTGAATCTTTTACTCATGATATCTCCTACCGCCCCTTACACCAGTCAAACCCACTCCAACATCGAATTCGACACCACTTGAGCACGCCCATCCATCCTGCAACAAGTATCCTAACTTCGACTAGTGGCGAGAGTGAGATGTCGTAGCAGACCAGTCTTGAGCGTGGTAATATGTTTGATATCGCTTTGCATGACGCAAGTCTTCAACGAGAAGAATGCTGTCCTCCTCTTCGTGTTGTGCCCAATATCGAGAATAGAATCTGGTAGACCAGGATCTCGAGAATATCATATCACTTGGTAGGACGGCCTTGACGTGGATCTTCGACAACAAGAAGACAGTGGTGAAGGTTGTCGAGATCTGCGGAGTGATAATAGGCGCAAAGGCTTTGCTGGTTGTAGGTGATGATAATTGGTGCCATGGTGACTGTTTGCGAGATGGATGTATACAGATTTGGGTGCTGTGTACTCTCGGGAGAGAAGGTAGATTGATCTTGTATTTATAGAACGATTGAAGTCTAAGACAAGAGCGATCTGGGGTGGGAAGGGAGATATGCTTCACTTCTATACTTCTCATTGACCTAACCTTAGATTTTTACCTGTTAATAGTGGATTTGCATGTCAATGGTCGAGCGCTCTCTGACCTACCCTATTGTTCGGCTTGAAAATCTGGTAAAGCGGGCAAGACTTTGATTCGAACCTTGCAATCTTATGAGGCGTCGAGAAAGTGCTGGAATTGATTGTATGTGATAGTCGCAGGCACTCTGATGCGGGCTCTCCTATCTCGTGGCTATAATTGAGCCTACCTTTAAGAAATAATTGTCTCTTTGGCAAGAAACAAGTTGAACTTGGTGTCCGAGCTAGAATGGAACATTGCCAGAGCCTATAATGACTAGGCCGCTGCAGGAGAAAAGAGCCCAAGCGTGAAAAGAAAAGGTTGAGGCGGAAGGTGGAAGGTGGCAGCCCACTAGAGCCACCCCCTGTGTGGCTTTTGGAGTCCTTCACAGGAAAGTTTTCGGTGTTGAATCTCGGTCCATTCGGGTAAGGCTTCCCTCAATGCCTTAATTTGGGTATTCAGAAATCCTTCGCCATTGACAGGAAGGTCGCAGAGTAGCCACTTCTGCAACGTGATTCTTTGTATATTCTTCGCGTCATCGCATTCGTAGAATCGTGGGAACGTGAGATCGATATGTTCAAGATCCGGAATGTAGATGATAGATATCCTTGCCAAAGTCGAAATATGTTTCGAACGCAAACGAGCAGTCGTTCGCGAGAGGCAGTGATTTCGTGATTCTCGGCAGGCCTGCAAGACCGGAGGGATAGGTTGATTGGAGATGAACTTGAGCCTCCCTTTCTGTAATGTAGGCTCCACTATTACTTCTGTGTTGTCGTTGGCGTTTTCAGGATCGCGTTCTGCGAAGGCGGGATGCCGTGCGTCGATACAATGTACCCGTGGGTTGTAAACATCTGCCTCAAAAGCATATTGCCAAATCAAAAGTCATAACTCAATAGGAAATAGCGTGAAGTACCCGAAGAACCGTTGTCCCTCCAAATTTCTGAGTCTCCTTGCATTGACTACTTTGACCGTCTATTCTATCTTGCATTCGTAGGAAAAATGTTGGATATCTTGAGGCCGGATGATGCTATGCCTTTCTTTCCAATCCTCGAAGGAAATGAGAATGGAAAGAATACCAAAGCTGCTGGATATAAAAAGGTATTTTTAATAATATGGCAAGGTTATGCGCTGCTTTTTTAAACATTTTTCTTTGTATTGATTAATTTTAAAAGTAGTATTAATTACGTACTTTTTAATATATAAAAACTTTTTATTTATTATAAATAATTAAATATTTTTATAAATTTTTGAATTTATAAAATTTATAATAATTAAAATATAAAAAAAATTAAAATAAAAATTAATTTTAAAATAATTTTTATTAAAAAAAATTTAATATATAATTTAAAATTTATAAATAATATTAATAATTTTAATATATTTTTATATTTTTTTATTATAATATTATTAATATTTTTATTAAAATTTATATAAAAAATTAATTTAATTTAATTTTAAATTATTTATAATTTATAAATTAATTTATTAATTAATAAAATAAAATAATAAATAATAAATATTTTTATTTAAAAATTTTATATATAATGTTAATTATTTATTCAAATTTAATTAAAGTATTTAAATATAACGATTTAATTAATTTATTAAAAATTTCGTAATTACGAAATTATGAATTAAAAATATTAAAATTTTAATTATATTACACTTATAATTATAATTTATTAATTAATCCAAATTGTGTAAAATTCAATTAAATATTATCAGATTCCAAGTTTTAAGCGATTTTATTAATCCGTTATTGCGCAAATCAATAAAATATAATCGCACTTAATAAAAATAGCAATTGCAAAACTCTCGAGTACGTTTTTGCCTTAGGTACTAAGGCTGGCAACCGCCCCGTGAGAAACATCAAAACTCTCTCTAAGTGCGTTTTTGCCTTAGGCATTAAGGCACCTAAATGCTAGAACAGCTGCGCAGCTCTCGAGGGGGTCCCAGGGGATCTCCCCCTGGAATTATATATTAAAAAAAGTGATTTAAATTGATTAAATCGATCGTAGCAACTTAATATAAAAGACAGGGGTCCCAAGGAGTGTCCCTTTGGTGTGAGGCTCTATTAAAAGTGTGTTTTTTGTCTAAGGCACTAAGGCAACAACAAAACATTAAAATTCTTTTCTTTTCTAGTTTTATAGTTGCGCAGCTTTTAAGGGGTGTCCTAGGGAGTCTTCCCCTGGAATTATATACTAAGTAAAATGATTAAAATCGATTGAATCGATCGTAGCAATTGAATATAAAAGAGGGGGTCCCAGGGGGTGTCCCCCTGGTAATATGAGCTCCGAAAGTGCGTTTTTGCCTTAGGCACTAAGGAGTTTATCAGCTTATCGCTCTCACCGCCCGGCAGAATCTCAAACTACTACTTTACCTCGATAATTATACTAACTTCAAATGCTTATAAAACGCTCAAATTAAGAGCTTTTAACTTAAAACTTAAAATAAAGATAGATTAATAAAATCGAAGACTTTGTAGCTCCTTGCAAAGGCGCTCTTGCGAGGCCTGCGAAACATTTTTTTAATTATATATATAAAAAACGTAATAAAAAATAATAATTAATTTAATTATAATAATTTTAAAATTTTTATATAATATTATTAAAATAAAAATATATTAATATATAATTTTTATCTTTTAATTAAAATATAAATTAATAAAAAAAACGAATTTAAAAATGAATTTTAATATTTCTTTAAATTTAATTTATAATAAATATTATTTAATTAAAAAATAAAATAATTAAATTTAAATTTATATAAATTTAAAAAAATTAAATTTTAATATAAAATAATAAATTTATTTTTGATTAAAGTGCAAATTAATTTTTTGTTTATTTTCTCTATTTTTAATTAAATTTTAAATTAATCTTTGATTTGTTTTATTTCTAATTAAAGTGCAAACTAATCTTTTGTCCGTTCTATTTATTCCCGACTAGGATTTAGGCCCACTTTCCTCGCATTTTACCCATTCCCAGCTCGAGTAAAAAACATTACAAAAAGCGCGAACCGGATTTTGGAATCATAGTCTAAAGCACTCCGAAAGTCTCTCGGGACGGTCAGAGGCCATATTCTATCCCCATAAGTGATCTGGTCCTGGGGATTATTGGGCAAGGAGGTCAATCTGGGGAGGTTAATCTGGGTCGCGGAACCTGGGGTTATGGGCAGTTATTAGACTAATTCCTCGACAGCCAATGCCGCAGTCACACGTTCTAGGATACTGTATACTGTATCGCACTCGCCACTGAGTTCTTTTTTTTCAGCCGGTTTCGTAACAGGCTAGGGGCCTACTGAGTCCTTGCTTGTGTAACCTGAGTAAAATGATAGAAGAAAGTGGGTGAGGTCTATCAGGTCGAGTGACCGTATAGGAACTGGAATGTGGACCATTGACAGCGAGGCACAATAATAGCCCCCTAGGATTGGAAGAGGCGTGGAAAATTGGGGAACGAGAGAATAGAATGGAAACACAACATCCTTGGCGAGGCGATATTGTAAGACGGTGGCATCTCAGCAAATCAATTCTGGCGCTCCAACAATCTGTTGGATTGCACTAATGCTGTGAACCCACAGTTGGGGGCTGGATTGGGTCACCGGGACATGCATGCATAAGCCACAATTTCTGCGAAAGCAACATTATACACGTATGTCTCTTGCCTGTCCGCTTATAGCTGAAGGAATAAGCCCCTCAAAAAAACAATTTAGGGTGCTCATTATATGTTATCCAAACTGAGTCCTATGCATCTCATAACTTCCTACGACATTACAACCTTTCACAAACACTGGTTCGCCTCAACTTCAAGCCTCTTATTTTCAAACTTTGATTGCCATACCAATCTACCATAAAGTTACAGGGCAACGGAAGGACACGACACGATGAATTGGACTGATCAAAGGGCACAGGTACTGGGTATGTCTTGGGTTCTCAGAATACGTTTCAGTCATTAATTAAATTAGCGAATTGCAAATGTCTTTATGGAATAGACACTGAAGTCTTCACTTTCTCCTACGGTGGCCTTCATCAAGCCATCGCCA